CAGCTCCAAAGGGAACCCACCCAATATGCATCCACAGGTGAAAGAATAAGCAAACTGTACCGTAGCCCACCCAGAGGAATAGTACTCGGCAATAAAAGGGAGCGAACTATTTATTCACACAACAACATGGATGAATCAAAACAATGCTAAGTGAAAGAACCCAGACCAAAATGAGTGTATACTGAATTATTCCATTTATATGGAGCTCTCGAAAAGGCAAACTGATCGATATGGCAACAGAAAGCAGTTAAGTGGTTGCCTGAGAACAGGGGTGGAAGAAGGAATGATTACCAAGTGACAGGAGGAAAGTTTCTGAGGTGGAGGATAGATTCATTATCTTAATTGTGGTGAGCTTTCACCTGTACTGATACATCAAGACTCCATGCCCTAACCAGTGGTCGGCAAACTCATTAGTCAACAGACCCAAATATCAACAGTACAACAATTGAAATTTCTTTTGAGAGCCCAATTTTTTTAAACTTAAACTTCTTCTAACACCACTTCTTCAAAATAGACTCTCCCAAGCTGTGGTATTTTGTGGAAGAGCCACACTCAAGGGGCCAAAGAGCCACATGTGGCTCAAAAACCACAATTTGCTGACCACAGCCCTAACTGGTTTGACTCAGTGGATAAAGCATCAGCCTGCGAATTGAAGGGTCCCAGGTTTGATTCCGGTCAAGGGCATGTACTTTGGTTGTAGGCACATCCCAGTAGTGGGTGTGCAGGAGGCAGCTGATTGATGTTTCTCTCTCACCGATGTTTCTAACTTTCTCTCCCTCTCCCTTCTTTTCTGTAAAAAAATCAATTATACATACATACATATATATATACATATACATACATATATATATATTTTTTTTTTAAGACTCCTAAGTTGGGCCGAAACCGGTTTGGCTCAGTGGTAGAGCGTCGGTCTGTGGACTGAGAGGTCCCAGGTTCGATTCCGGTCAAGGGCATGTACGTTGGTTGCGGGCACATTCCCGGTAGGGGGTGTGCAAGAGGCAGCTGGTCGATGTTTCTCTCTCATTGACGTTTCTACCTCTCTATCCCTCTCTCCTCCTCTCTGAAAAAATCAATAAAATATAGTTTAAAAAAAAAAAGACTCCTAAGTTGGACAGTTTATATGGACAGTTTACAGTATATCAATTGTACTCGAATAAAGTTTTTAAAATAATAATAAAACCATCTAAACACTGAGGAATTTGGGCTGGTTGGAGAGAGCTCTCTGAAAGGGGAGACGAGATAGTTTTCACCTGGCCCTGTGGAGCTGAGCCAACTTAACCGAAGAGAACTTCTCAAGTCAGCTTTGCCTCAAAAGGCTCTCCTAGATTCTAGCAATAGGAGAAGGGAGATGGAAAGAAAAATCACTGAAGTGGAGGGCTAGGTTTGCTATTTGCCTTGGGTGCAAAAATCTTATTAGCACCAAAGGTTTATGGGTAAAATGTTGTAATTTTATTTGTTCAACACCTGATTCTTTTAGACTTGGCCTCGTTTTCTTTAGGACCCTGGGATCTCACTCTGCCCAATCTTTCCCTCTCAGACTGTCCTATGTATGGCTGGACCAGGACAAACAGCAAGGATGGGGAGAGGGTGATGCTGCAGGGATACCTCTGAGCCTATGGTACCCATTCCTGTCTCCATTTCTGACGGGCGGTGGGGGAGTGCAGAGTGAGGGGAGGTAGACAACCCAGCTCAGCTCGCCATCCTGAGTGCTTAGAATCTTTGAAAATGAATGAGGCTGAACATTCCGGAAACTCAGGAGAAAAGAGTCTCTCTCAGGTCCTGGGAGGAAGGGTGAAGAGTCCTTAGGACCTGGTTCTTTCTCTTTCTTCAGAACCCTTTGCTGGAGGAGCTCCCTACCCTCTCACCTCTCCCGCTTTACTCCTCTCTATCCTTCTCCACATTCCCGAAGCCCTAGACAGTGTCCCCAGGTATCCATCAGCTGCTCAACATTACCTGGGTCCCTCCCCGTTAGGATGATAGCATCTATCAGCACTGCCCTATGCCCTATGGTTTCAGATGTCCCTCACAGGGAGCAGGGGTTAAAATGGACACTTTCCTTTTATTTTATCCTCTAGGACTATAAAACGAGGGAATTTTTGAGTCTTGGCCTATGTTAAGCAGGCCAAGGAATTTGAGTTTGGACTGTCGGAACCTAAAGATACCCTGCTGACAGGACTTATAAAAAGTAGCCAGCAGCCTTGGCAGAATTGCTCACCAAGCCATCTGCATCAGAATCACCTGGGGTGCTTGCTACGGAGGCCAGCTCCAGGACCCCATCCCAGACCTCAAGATTCAGATAATCTGGGAATCTGATTCGGATGCACAGGAATAGCATACGAAACCCTCTGCTTTAAAGGGACAGCTTCTCTTTGCTCTTTCTCTCATATCTTATTCTTGCCATGTTTTGTTTCTTGGGAGTATGTGGGAGAAATTCTTAAGAATCTGTAACAGGCATAGACTTGTGTTCCTGGGCTTAGAGTGAGATGGGGAGAGGTGGGTGGGGCTGGGAAGAGGTGTGCCAATGCAAATATTGTCCCATCGGTACCTGGTGATTTTGCCTGGAGGCACACAAGGATATGCCCTTTGCTAGAAAATATGGCTGGGTTCCCCGGCTCCAGGCTGAGGAGTCCGGTATCATGGGAAAAGGCAGAGATCAATGGTGTTGTTCAGGAAGGCTGGAATGTAAGAAAAAGAATTGGGCCAGTTCCAGGCAATTGCTGGAATTCCCCTGGCCCCAGGAGAAGGTGTCCATGGGTAACCTGGGAGAGACCCTCAGGGAGAAGAGGGGGGAGGCAGGTGAGACCTTGACTTCATTCAAGGATTGAGAACTGTACCAGGTAGGGAGGGCGATTGTTCATTGTCCTTAATTTGGGGGGTCAGAAGTTGGGAGGAGGGGGCCCAAGGCTTCGGAACTCCAGGACACCAAATCCATTGCACCCATCTGAGTAATAGATGGTGGTGTCTGATCAATTCACAGAAGATTTAAGATTGGAAGTAATGCTTCCATTCAGTGATCCTTCCATCACTTTCCCCGCCAAAAACTCAACCAATACCCTTCCCACCTCACACACAAAGCAAGTCATTCGGGTTGACTCCTACTTATCCTTCCCAACTCCATTTCCCCACCTTTCCTAAGCCCCGGGGCGGGTTGGGTGTCCTTCTCTGTGCTCCCAGAGAGCCCCATAATTGCCCGTGTTACATAACATAACACCACGTTGTAATTTTTGGCTTACCTTTCTGTTTCCCCAACTGACAGTCCGCATTGTTGTTGTGGCCAGCTCAAGGCCTCTCAGAATATAAGATGCTCATGAGCCCACAAGGATTGCTATAGTCACAAGTGTGAAACCTCATGGGCTGGGACCAGAGGAACCTAGCTTCTCAGGCCTCCTACAAAACAGTACAGACTTGGTCTGGATGGGAACCTTAAACACCAGGCCAGCCTCCTGCCCACTCTGTCTCATGCCCCCGGAAGCTGCCAAGGATGGCAGCTCCAGCTGGCAAGTAATGAGATTTCTTCCTGGAAGGATTCTTGGCTTGAGAACTGGCCCTCGCCTCCTCTAAGTTTCTTCAACACCCTCAGGTTTCTGGGGACGTGGAGGATGGGAGGGAGAGTCTGAGTCAGCTCCAGCTTTTACTATTTCCCAGAGCCCTGTGACCACCCCTTAACTCCTGCCAAGTGCATATGGGCAAGAGTTCCCAAGGACATAGATTTTCCCAACCCTTGGTAGAGATGGGGAGCGGGGTTGGCTAAACATTTGGAGCCAGGAGAATAGTTCTGCCTCTGACCACGTGTTCCACCCCTACCTCTGGCCTTCTTTAGCTTTAACTAACCAGGATAAAGCAGCAGCCCACCACATTGAGAAGGAACAGGCCCAGAATCAAGAAGACAAGACCCTGCCCTGCTGGGTGGTTCAGTGGTTGAGTACTGATTTATGAACCAGAGGTCAAGGTTTGATTCATAGTTAGGGCACATGTCCTAGTTGTGGGCTTATCCCCAGTAGGCGGTGTATAGGAGGCAGTCGATCAATGATTCTCCCTCATCATTGATGTTTCTCTCTCCCTATCCCTTCCTCTCTGAAAACAATTAAAAAATACATTAAAAATAAATTTAAAGCCCTAACCGGTTTGGCTCAGTGGATAGAATGTCGACCTGCGAACTGAAAGGTCCCAGGTTCGATTCTGGTCAAGGGCATATACCTTGGTTGTGGGCACATTCCCAGTAGGGGGTGTGCAGGAGGCAACTGATCAATGTTTCTCTCATGGATGCTTCTCTCTCTTCCTCTCCCTTCTTCTCTGTAAAAAAATCAATAAAATATATACTGAAGAGTAAAAAAAAGACCCACACACCTAGCCCTTATAAGGAATTCATTCCAATCCTGGCTGGTTTGGCTCAATTGGTTGGAGCATTGTCCTGTGCACTAGGTCACAGGATCCACTCCTGATTAAGGCACATACCTGGGTTGTGGGTTCGGTCCCGTCACAGCACATACGGGAGGCAACCAATCACCGTAACTCTCTCATATTGACATCTCTCTCCTTCTTCCCTTTCTAAAATCAATTTTTAAAAAAGAACTCATCCCAATGACACACAGTGGGCATGACGACTCTGGTGGGAATATCCTTGTCTCTGTAAAAACACCTCAAAACCTTCAACAGGGAGACTGCAGAGCCCACCCCCAGCCCAGGAAAGATACGCGCAACCACAGCTATTTTATTTTCCTTTTAATTATTCTGAAGGATATACACCACATATCCCATGAGCAATAAAGCGCATTCAATGTGTTTATAAGCCAAACAGTCACTTTGTTTAAGCAAACACAAGTACATAGTAAAAATAAAACCACAAAATAATGAACTGCATGTTCATAACATACAAAAATCGCCGCCTACTCAGTAGGTAACTACAACATTCCAACTCCTGAATATATTTATAAATTTACATTTTCAGTTAAAAAAATAGACTTTTGAGAGTTCAGATTTCTAGATTTTTTCCCCCCTTACATTCTGGAGAACCGAAGCTCAGCTCAGCCCTCTTCCTTGTTTTGCTTCCAAAGCTTTCCCCCAATCATCACTCCCTGCCCCCCTTAAGGCTAGAGGTGAGCGCGTCCCTTAAACTGGCACAGGTCAAACTGTCAGCAAGGCGTATCACACAAAAGGCACCAAGACGTGAAACTTTTAAACCGAAGGGACGAAGAAAACCACTTTCAAAAAAAAAAGAAAAACCAAACCATATTTTGCCACATGTGAGAGTACAGTCAGGCAATATTTACAAAAAGGTTAACGGAACATCACTCTGACACATGCTCTGATTAATACCAAGGACTGCTGTTTCAAAAAAAGCTTCAAACTTAATCATCACAGCATCATCACAAAATAAAGGATCACCATTGTTGGTTTGCTTGGTTTTTCTCCCCCCCCACCCCCCAAGTGAGGCCCAGCTCCAAATAATACAATAGAATATGCAAATTATCTTCACATCAAGAGTACCCCAAGAAAAACAAAATCCATAGCACAGACACTGTACAAGGGTACAGGGCTGGGCTCTGAGGGGCCCGAACCCCATTTTGCCAACTTGATTTTCTAGCATTGGAGGGACGGGGGGTCAGGCCTATGGCGGAGATGATACTGAAATGATATATCCAAAATCCATGCAAATCAAGTTCTTTGGATAGAGGTGAAGAACTTGGACATGGCTGTTTTCAGGCAGCTGAAGTCAAAGGGAGTTGATGAGGAAGGGGGTGAGGGCAGAAAGGATTGTTGGCCAACAGAATTTCCACGCTGACCCCAGGGGGTCAAGTTAGAGAAGGATTGGCTCTGAGAACCTCCATCTGACGTATCTCCTACTCCTGTCCTTTAAGTCTCTTGTGTTTCTTTTCCTCCCTTTTCCCTTTTTTTCCCTTTTCCTTTAGCAAATTTCAATTGTCCTGGGAGAAAAGGTGGTTGTCATGTCCGAAAGCCCTGTGGAGGTGCTGAAGGAGTTGGTGACTGCCGAGGACGGGAAGCTGCTGACTTGGGCCGCGAAAGCAGGGGGGACAGAGGAGTACGTGGTGGCCACGGAGGGCGAGGGGAAACCGCTGTGCACAGGGGAGGGGTAGGTGGAAGAGCCAGGGGAGGAGTAGGAGGTGGGCACGGGGGATGGGTAGGAGGTGGTGGCCGGGGACGGGTAAGAGGTAGTGACCGGGGAGGTATAGGAGGTAGCCGCCGGTGATGAATAGGAAGAGAGGGAGGGGGTGGCCGAGGAGGCCACCCCTTTGTCTGCTTTCTTGTCCTTCTGCCGCAGGTGGATCTTGGTATGCCTCTTGCGCTCATCGCTCCTGGCGAACTTTCTCCCACAGATGTCACAGGCGAAGGGCTTCTCGCCTGTGTGGGTGCGGATGTGCGTGGTGAGGTGGTCGCTGCGGCTGAAGTTGCGCATGCAGATGCGGCACTGGAAGGGCTTCTGGCCGGTGTGGATGCGAATGTGGCGGGTGAGCTCATCGGAGCGGGAGAAGCGGCGGTCGCAGGACTCCACCGGACAGGCGTAGGGGCGCTCGTGGGGGGGCGTCTTGCTGGGCCGGTTGGGGTACTTGCGCATGCGGCTGGGTTTGATGAGCTGGGACTGGTAAGAGGTGTTGAGGGCCTTGAGGTCCTGAGAGCCCGACTGGGTGGCAAAGGCCTTGATGGTGGAGAGGGGAGTGAGGGAAGGCTGCTGAGGACGGCCCTCCAGGCCCTGGAAGGGCTTCTGGTCTGGGGTGCCCAGGCCCAGGTCCCCCTGCTGTTGTGGAAACAGATAGTCTGGAATCATGGGGACCTGGAAGCTGCCCTTGGCGGCAGGGTAGGCAGGCGGCGGCGGGTACTGGAGCGCAGTGCCTGCCGGGCCTGGAAAGGCCTGGCCTTGAGGCTCAGGGAAGATGTCAGTGTTCGGTCCTGTGGGGTAGGTGGGTGCGGCCGAGTAAATGGGGCTGCTGTCGTTGGACTGCACCGCGCAGCTCAGGGGTGGGCTCTGGGAGGCCGAGGAGGAGGAGGAGGAGGAAGAGGCTGCCGGAGATGGTGCCGAGGAGGAGGTGGCCGGTGGGTTGCTCATGCTCACGAGGCCGCTAACCAGGCTGAAGAGGGGCTCGGGCCACAAGGTGTTGCCACTGTTGGGTGCAGGCTCCAGGGAGAAGCGGCCCGTGTAGGTGATGGGGGGCAGCCGGGTGGTGTGGCTGGAATAACTTGTCTCCACCAGAACCTTCTCGTTATTCAGGGACATGTCAGGAAAAGACTCTGGCAGGAGAAAAAAGAGGAGGAGGCTTGGTTACTGGAGAGCAATCACTGGAGGACTAGGAGGAGGAGGAGGAGGAGGAGGAGGAGCCAGGCTGTCAGGCAAGAGGTCGGGCCGGCAAAATCATTGACTGCCCAGCTGGTTAATAATTGATAACAGCAGACTGCAATGTTCCTGGACACGCTCCAGAGGCAGAACCCAATCCAACAACAGCTGACGCAAATACGGAGAATCCCCCTCCGCTGCAGCGCCCGGCACTCCGCAGCGGCGGCGGCTGCGCGGCGCAGGGATTCCCGCCAGCTCCCCGCTCAGTCCCGCTATGCGCACCCCCTACCCCGGGGAGCCGGGCATCCCCGGCCGCGGATCACAGCCCTTCCCTGGGGACGGGCGGCAGGCAAGGCAAGCTTTTCGGGAAGGGGGAGGGCCTCGCAGTCCCGCTTATCAAAACAAGCCCTCCCTCCCCCCCACCGCCACCCACCCACGCAGCCTCAGAGCTCTCCTTCCAAAACAAGAGCTCGCTCCCCTGCGCGCCGCCGGGGATGAGGAGGGTGGGGGCGGGGGTGGATGTCCCCAGGCATCCCTCCCTAACACAGGACCCCGCGATGCAAGGACTAGGAGGGAAACCCCACTTGCACCCTTGAGATCCTGCAAAGGCTGTGGGGGAGGACTGGGCGCGAGGATGGGGGCGAAGGGGCTAAATCTTCGGAGTAGGCCACCGCTTACCTGGGGTCAAGTGCTCGTAGGGCTGGTCGCCCGCCTCTCCTTGCGGGTTGAAAGCGCTGCTGCTGTTGCTGCTGCTGCTGCTGCTGCCCCCGCCGCCTCCGCCGCTGCTGCTGCTGCTGCCGCCGCTGTTGCCACCGCTGCCCTCGGGCGCCCCGGCGGCTCCGAGGAACTGGGGAGCCCCGTTGCTCAGCATCATCATCTCCTCCAGCTTTGGGTAGTTGTCCATGGCGGGCGAGTGGGGAAAGGAGCCGAACGGGTCCGAGATCTGCAGCGGGGACATCAGCTGCATCTCGGCCTTGGCTGCGGCCATCCCAGTCGGGCGGGCGGGCTGGAGCGCGGCTGCTGGGGCGGACGGGGCAGCGCGGGGCTGGAGAGGCGGGGGGCACACTCCCGGCAACCTGGCCGGGTCACATGCGGGGCTCGGGGCACAGTGTGGGGAGCGCGGGCGGAGTCCCCGGGCTTGCCCTCGCCGCCGGCCGGGGTGTGCGCGGCGTGGCTGCGGGGCCGGTCCTGGCGGCGGAAGCGGGCGGCGGCGGTCGCTGGCGGCGGCGGCTCCCCTAGTTGTGCGCGCTGGGATCTCTCGCGGCTCCCCGGATCCGCCTCTATTTGAAGGGTCTGGCGCCGCGCGGGCCAGCCCCCGTCGTGACGTACATGGCCATATATGGGAAGCAGGAAGCCCTAATATGGAAAGGCTGCCGGGAGGACCCGGAGTGACGTGAAGCCCCCGGTCCCAGGCCCCGGTGGGCATCGCCACCCCGCGCCCCAGGCCCTCCGCCCGCTCTGGGCACCCAGGAGCCCGCACCTCGCGGCAGCCCGAGGCCCCAGCCGCAGCCGGGCGCTCGCGGAGCCCAGCGGCCCTGGGATCCCGGCGCTGCCCCCGCCCCGTCCCTCCGCCCCCCGCCGCCCCCCCTCCCTCCTCCCGGCGCCGGAAGCGGCCGGCCCATATCGGGCCGCTCCAAATAAGGCGCTGACCAAATAAGGGCTGTTCCGGCGGGGGATCCTTCCTGCGCCTTATATGGCGTTTCCGGCCTCCGCCGGCTGCTCCGGGCTCCCCCCTCCCCCCTGGTTCCCCGCCGGGAGCCCGGGCGCGCGCGAGAGCGGGGGACGCCCGGGCGCGGAGCCTCGGCTCCGGAGGCTCCCCGGCGGGACCGGGCTGGGGAAGCCCGGCCGGGGCGGGGGCGAGGCGAGCCGGGCCGGCGTCCTCCCCCGTCACCCAGCGCCCGCCCGCCCCTGGGACCGTGGGAGCGGAGCGGGAGCGAAGGGGAGGAGCGGCGGGCCGCCGGGTCGGAGGCCTCCCTCCCGGGAGGGGCGGGGCCTTGACCCCCGGCCGCCACCTGCCTCGTGGGGCCTGTCCAGGTCCTCGCGGGGGAGTGAGGCTGGGAAATAACAGCTTAGATGGCTCCTGGGTTCCTTTGCGTTGTAATGGGCATCCTGCTTCTCGGACCTTTTCCAGTGGGATGTTGGAGCTTGGGGATCCCTCTTGGCCACCCAGAGCTGAAAGGTGTCCTCCGGGAAAGAGGCCACCTTTGGGTGACCGGATGAGGGGATATCTGATTGCCCTAGGGGAGACCTGAGTCCTTTCCCCCCTCCCCCCAGGCACTGTGATCCTTGTGGTGGTGGGAGGCTTTCCCATCTTTATCCAGAATGGGTGGAGGTGGGGTGGACAGGCGGGAGTCTGAAAAGGGGGCTTCCCTGCGGGCAGCCTGGGGACCCCGGGCTGGGACGTGGAAAGGACGTGCTCAGCGGTTTGGTGCTGCCCCCTGGAGGTCCCTCTCCGGCTCGGCTCCGGAGCCCCCGGCCGAGCGGGCTCTTCCGCCGTCTTCCCGCCCCCCCTCCGGGCTCCGCGCCGGCGCCGCGCCAGGCCGGGGGCGCGGGAGCCGCAGTGAGCGCGCACTGAGCAGGCGCCGCAGCCGGGCTCCCCCCGCGGCCCCCGGGGAGCCGCCGCCGCCGAGGCGACCGGGCTCCGCGCGGGCGACGCTCCCCTCCCCGCGATGGAGAGGGTGCGGGGGCGGAACCGTTACCGCAGGCCTCCGGGGAGTGGACGCGAGCAGGGAAGCCCTTCCCTGTCCGGTCCGCACACCCCAAAGACAACAGGGATCCCGGGGGCGGAAGACCAGCTCTAGCTCTGAATCCAGGGGAAGAAGGGTTGTTGTTTTTCCTGAATTTAAAAAGAAAGCAGCCTGGCCGACGTGGCTCAGCGGTTGAGTGTGGACCTATGAACCAGGTTCGATGCGGGTCAGGCCACATGCCTGGATTGCAAACCCGATCCCCAGTGCAGGGGACAGCCGATCGATGATTCTGTTTCATCATTGATGTTTCTATCTCTCCCTCTCCCTTCCTCTCTGAAGTCAATAAAAATGCATTTGAAAAAATGAAAATAAAGCAGATGTGTCTGTGGAAGGAGGGCGCTGATGACACCTGGAGGGAAGTGGGCAGGTCAAGGTCTCTAGGAACCAAAGAGCCGCAGAAAGGCGGGGTCAAGGGATTTGAATGGGGGGTGGGTGTGTGTGTGTGACTCTCTTGGGCTTCATCCCTCTGTAACCGTCCCACCCCCACCACACACACACACACACACACACACACACACACATTTTTTTAAATAAAAATCTTTTTAAAAAAAATATATTTTATTGATTTTTCACAGAGAGGAAGAGAGAGGGATAGAGAGCTAGAAACATCGATGAGAGAGAATCATCGATCAGCTGCCTCTTGCACACCCCCTACTGGGGATGTGCCCGCAACCAAGGTACATGCCCTTGACCGGAATCGAACCTGGGGCCTTTCAGGCCGACGCTCTATCCACTGAGCCAAACCGATCCCGGCAAAATTAAAATCTTTTTAAAAATATACTTTTATTGATTTCAGAGAGGAAGTGGGAGGGAGAAACATCAGTGATGAGAGAATCATTGATCGGCTGCCTCCTGCAGTACTAGGGATCAAGCCCACCACCTGTGTGTGTGCCTTCACTGGAACCAAACCCAGGACCTTTCAGCCCGCAGGCCTACGCTCCATCTACTGAGCCAAACCAGCGAGGCCTATAAAAGTCTTCTTAAGGAACCCTGCAGTGAACCAGGATTCCCTTGTCTCTCTGCTCTAGGTCTGAGCTCCTCATCCCAGTGCCTAGGGCTGGGTAGGGGACCCACTCCCACCAACTACCCACGGAGTTGTCCATTTAGGGGCCGGAGTGATGAGCCTGTCTGGGGCCTCCTGCAGGCCAGGAAGGCCCCGCTAAGCAGGGTCACATGGTTCTGTGTCTGAATGCCTGTTTTGCCACTCCCTGGTGAGGTACCTAACCCGGGCTCTTTGTATCTTGCTTCCTTCAGCTGTAAAATAGGGCTAATGTTCATGATTTCCACATAACGGGTTATCGTGAAGACTGAAACTTAAATGGACTGCCATCTTTGAAGTCCCAAAGCACGGGGCCTGCCTTACAGTTGGCATTTAATAAACAGTGGCTATTGTTGTTCTCAGGGGCTTCTGACCCACAGGGTCACCCACAGCCCACCCACACACCCTTGGCCTCTGAGCAAGCCCCAGTGACCTTTTCTGACCAGTGGCACAGAGAGGGAGAAACATTTCAATTCTAACACAGGGGGCATTGTCCCGCAGAGCTGATCTGAATCCTTCTCGCTGCAGTAGAACATCATTTCCTAGAGCAGAATTTGAAACTGTGACTGTGCAGAAGACTCACCCCTGGAGCCCTGAAAAAGAAAGGTTTTACCCTAGACCAATGGTCGGCAAACTGCGGCTCACGAGCCGAGGTTTGCCGCTCTGTTGACTAATGAGTTTGCCAACCACTGCCCTAGACCAACTGAATCATAATCTTCCTGAGCTTGTGAGTGCCAGAACTGAGCAAGCACCTCATCGTAGTATCCCCGCGCTGTCCCCCAAAAGGCAGGGCAAACCAGTTCCCCTGTGATTCTAATGTGCAAGCTGACCTAAAGCACTCTTAAGGTCCTTGCTGAAGCTGAGCCATGGAAATCCTTGTAGTATACATCTTCTGTTTTGGGTGCCCATCATCAATGCTCCTTTCTTTTCATAACTACTCCGCAGCCAGTGCCTTTCTTTGGGGAACCACCCCAATCCATGTGTGTGTGTGTGGGGAAGATGACCCCATCCTGCATCTGGAAGTGTGAACGTCGCCCACGCCTGGCCATCCACCTAGGCACGCTCTAGTCGAGGCGCATTCCATCTTCCTAGTTATGAAGATTGAATCTGGACAGGCACATGGCTCAAACCAGGCCCATGAGCATCACTTCTGGGACTCTCAAAACAGGAATTCTCTTCCCCTGAAGGCACTCAGCCAATGGAATGTGAGCCTGGAGGCCATCTTGCCATCAGGCTGGAGAGCCTACCCAGGAAACCAGTGCAGAGGAAGTCAGAGAGAAAACATCTACAGAGAGCGATTCTCCGGATAAAGTCTGGGGGTTTTAGTTATGCAGGCGAAATTCCTCTTTTATTTAATAAAATAAAACAGGCACATTTCTGTTTCTGACAACCTAGGAGGTTCTGATTAATACACTCATTATCCACAACAAAAATCTTTTCTGAGGACTAACTGTGGGCAGGACTTGGGCTAAGGCCTACGGCATAGGCCCTTGTCTCTAAGGAACTTACCGTTGGGTAGAAGAAGTCTGGGTTCTAAGTTACATAAGAATTAAGAATAGGTGCCCTAGCTGGTGTGCTCGGTGGATAGAGCGACAGCCCACACAGCAAAGGGTCAATTCCTGGTCAAGGGAACACACATACCTGGTTTGCAGGTTCAATATCTGGCCTGGTTGGGAGGTGTGCCGGAGACAACCAATCAATGTGTCTCTTTCACATTGATGTTCCTCTTTCTCTCTTCCTCCCACTCTCTCTAAAAATAAATGGGAAAATAATATCCTTAGCTAAAGACTGACAAAATAAGCAAACAAAACAAAAAAAGAATTAAGAATAAGAAGCAAACCCTGGCTGAGCAGCTCAGTTGGTTAGAGAGTTGACCTGATAGACCAAGATTTCAGGTTCCATCTCTGGTCAGGGCACATACAAGAATCAATTAATGAATGCATAAATAAGTGGAACAACCGATTGATCTCTAAAATCAATCAGTCAATAAAAAAGTAGAAAGCAGCCGAAACCGGTTTGGCTCAGTGGTAGAGCGTCGGTCTGCGAACTGAAAGGTCCCAGGTTCGATTCCGGTCAAGGGCATGTACATTGGTTGCGGGCACATCCCCCGTAGGGGGTGTGCAAGAGGCAGCTGGTCGATGTTTCTCCCTCATTGATGTTTCTAGCTCTCTATCCCTCTCTCATCCTCTCTGTAAAAAATCAATAAAATATATATTAAAAAAAAAAAAAAAAAAAAAAAAGTAGAAAGCAGCCTCATTAGCTGCCAAAAGTCAGTTACACCAAAGGACATAGGGGACAAAGGGAAGAAAAGGCTTCAGGGGACAGAATAGGGCAGGGATGATGAGATTTTGGAGGAGAAAGAACATGAGAAGGACCACACTTTGTGGTTAGGAAGGGAGAGGCAGTTTCAGGCCAGGGGTGGGGGTGGGGTGGCCAGGAGAGTCCGTATGCTGCCTGTCTAGGAAAAATGGGCTGAAATAGAGAAGGTTCCTGTTGGGAAGTAGTAGGAGGTAAACTGAATAAAACATTTATTTTTTTAAAAAGTCTATTGGCCACTGCTTGTATCAGATGCAGTGCTAAGTCTTGGAGATTCCGCAGTGGAGAAGGCAGAGGTAGTTTTGCCCTCCGGGAAACCACGATTCAGTGGGATAGGTGGAATTAAACAGCTACATAAATATAAAGGATAGTTTCAGGTTATGATAAGTGCAACATGCCAGAGAGGGGACGGACGTCATCTCAGAGGAGGTGACATTTACATAGACGTAAAGGATGAGCAGAAACCAACTCTGCACAGAGGAGTGTGATGGGGAGAGCATTCCTGGCAATGCGGACAGCGTGTGAAGGCCTCAGGGGGCGGGGGGAGGGAGGTCTGGCCATGATCCCTCTGGAGCTTCAGGCTAAGGTGCAGGCAGTGAGGATGTTTAGGGTTCAGCTGTTCCCCTCCACTCTCATCTCCTCTGTTCTGTCCTCTCCAGCTCAAACGCAGGAGAAGGTGGCCTTCTCACCCCTGCCCGGCCTCTGTGGTGTGTCCTCGTACAAGGCAGCCCTTCCCAGGGACAGGGAGAGGAGCTGGCTCAGAGCTCCCACAGGCAGCCCAGCCCCAAGCCTGCTCTGTGTGGGGACAGCCGGCGGGAGGGAAGGCTGAGAGCCGGTGTCCTGGGTGGGGTCGTGCTGCTGGTCTGCCTTCTCAGCAGCAGGGCAGGCGTGGGGCATCTGAGTTAACCCCACACTCCTCTCAGCTGTCTTTTGGCCAGTGGCACACTTCTGTTTGCTGTGACTTCAAGGGGCGGAGACGTGCTAAAAAGAATTGTCCCCTTCCAAGGAGCCAAATCTCAGCGTGGGCTTAGGAGCACCCAACTTGTGGCCAACAACTGGCCTGGGGCCTCAAGGCAACCAGCTTGGAGGCACCCTGGTCTGTGCACCGTGCAGCCTCACGTCCTGTTTAGGGGTGAGTCTGGGGCTCTCAGGCCGTGGCCACCAGGTGACTGGGGCCAGGAGCCCTGGGAGGGGGGAGAGGCCCTCAGAGGGTCTGCAGGTCTGAGCTGCTGTCTGTGCCCAGACTTTCCTTGCAGATGGGAGGGGGAGGAGGAGGCAGAGGTGAGGGGAGAACTGAGCTTGTCCATGGCGGCAGGGGCTCCAGGAGAAAGCCAGAGGGAACCGTCATGTCTCAGACACCCAGCCCAGAGCGGAGCAAGCTGCCGCTTTCGGAGAAAAACAAGCCCCTTTTTCCATTGCCGCTTCCTTCTCCCCAACCCCGGGCTACGTCAGCACCCACATGCGCTGCTCAGCCTGTGGTTTGCCGCGGCGGTGGCCGGCCCCGGGACTCAGGAAGTGACTCTCTTTTTGGTTCTGTCTAGGGTGCCCGTCACACTTTCCGACGGCTGACGGGCCCTGACGGAAACACGGAGGGCCTGGTCTTCAGGGGCTGGGGCAGCTCTGCTCGCCCCCCAGGTCTAGAGGGGTGAGAAGAAGCCTGGAGAGACCAGGCAGAGGGTGGCACAGAGGTGCGCTGAGAAGGCGGGGAGAAATAGAGGCACAGAGAAAGGCAGGGGAGACGAGAGAGAGAGAGAATCACCCAGAGTGTTGGAGTGTGAAGCCGTCTCTTCTACTCTGCGACGGAGGACGGGGTGCCCGAGGGGAGCCTGAGTCCGAGCATAGCTGCAGAAGGCAAGTTCTGAGAGGGACCCATGCAGAGGAACGCAGACGGGGTCTCCTGGGCTCTGAAGAGGGGGCTCTCTGCACGCTCCAGACGGGGTCCAGAGGCTGGAGGGAGGGGACCAGGGAGGACTGGGCCCAGACAGGGTGGGGTCTGCCTGAGAGAGTTGGGGTCTGGGCTGCTGTCCTCAGAGTCTGTTGAGGGGTCATGTGCCAGACAGAGTTAGGCTGGGCCTGAGATGGAAGACATGGACATAATAACTTGGGGAGGCGGCACAAGGGTCTGTTAAGGGGATAGGGAGTGGGTGGAGGTAGGTGGACGATTAGGTAATGCTCTCTGGGTCCTCTCTGTCCCAGAATCCCCTGCGGATGCAGTAAACAATGACTGTCCTTGGCCATTAGCCCCTCTGCTCTATGCTGGGGGGCCTGTCTCCCAGGCCAGGGCTGGCAGGACCGTGGGCTTAGAGGACAATCCAGGGTGCGGTGAGTTCTCTGCTCCCCCCGCCCCCAGCCGAGTGCATGGCAACGCTGACTGCAGACATCGCTGGAAGCTCGTTGGGCAGGCAGCGGGAGGGGAGTGTTACATAAGAACCACTGATGTGCAGGAAGTGTGGAGCAGCCTTTAGATGAGAAAGGCAGTGTTTCCATCCAGCCCAGAAAGGCAGGAATAGCAACCACGGTTATTTCTGGCCCCTCACCACTGCCCGGAGCCGGGGCTGCTCAGCTTGTGGCAGGGGAGCGTGGATGCTGCAGATCTGGTGTGAGGGGGCAGGCAGCCCGGGGTTACCCGACTCTGGCACTGCCCTCACCCCCACCCTCACCTCCAAACACGGAACGCAGCAGCGAGTGGTGGGTAGTGCTTGTTTCCTCGGTTTTCCTGGATCTCCAGGTGCATTCTCTAACTCACCCGCACCCCCAGGCACTCTTACGGGGTGAGAGTCTCTGTGCTAAACCCTCGGCGGGCATTTGTCCTCACCATGCATTCTCGCCCCCATTTCACTGATGTGGAAACACGTTCCGAGAAGGCAGGTGACTTGCTCGAGGTCAGAGAGCCAGGCAAAGGGGGAGCCGGGATTCTAGTCCAGACAGTCTGTCTCCAGGACCCTGGAGCTGAACCTCCCTCATACCAAACCCTCTGGGGTCCCAGCATGAGTCAGACAAAGCTGTCCCCCTACAGGGGTTCCTGAGTCAAATGGAATAGGTGAGACAGACTTGTGAACAGATCATTTCAAGTCACTCACCCAACAATTATTTATCAGACATTCGCTCTGCTCTAGGCAGTTCACAGCCTAGCGGGGAGACAGATGAGTAAATAAGCAAGTACAGGAGTGTGATCCGTGCTCTCACGGGGGAAGCTCAGTGGGAGCTGTTAACCCGGCTCCCACCCACTGAAGTGGTTCCCAGGCAGTCAGAAAGCCACGTGCGGCTTTAAAATACCGGCAGGAGACTGGGTGGGGAGGGCTGGTGGTGAGACCAGCCAGGAAACCATGCCCATGCGATGGTCCAGGAGAGACGGCAGGATTGGATGCATCCTCGCCAGTTACCACAGACGCCCTCCAGGGGCCTCCCAGCAAGAAAAAGCTGGTGCCCAAATTGGCTGACAGGCAGCTGGGCCCCAAGTGCACCCATTTCCATGTACAGCGGCAGTCGGATCGTCGGAGAGGCTGGATGGAAGCGTGTCTTTTTGTTTTCCTCCTCCTATCACCCCCATGTGGAAGCCGGGTTAGGGAGCATCAGAGTGAGGGACTGGAGAGGAAGCGGGCCGGAAGCCGGAGGAAGAGCTTCCATCCAGCTGTCCACTGAGGAGTGGTGCAGCGAGGGAGGGAGGGTCCGCCCTCTCCCGGAGATCCCCCAAGGGGCTTGGTTTTGCTCTGGGCTGAGGCAGCGCTTCTCTTCCTATCAGCAGGCGAAGGGAGGGCGTCCTTGGGACTCACAGGACGCAGGTTCCCTCTGGCTCAGCCGCAGGGAGAGCCATGAGGCAGGGTGACTGTGTCTTAAAGCCAACACTGGACTCAGTGTATCTTTAAAGAAATTCTGTGGTAAAACATACGTAGCCTATTTTAACCATTTTACGTGTACAATCCAGTGGCATTAAGCACATCCACAGTGTTACACAACCATCCCAAATGTCCTTTTCCAGAATTTCTTTTCATCATCCCCAAACAAAAGCTCTGTACCCACACAACACGGATTCCCCATCCTGCTCCCTCCCCACAGCCCCTGGAGTCATACTGGTGCTTTTTCAACGGGCTTATTTTAATGAGCACAACGGGCTCATGGTTCAGCCATGTTACAGCGTGTGGTAGAACTTCCCTTCTTCCTGAGGCTAAATGATATTCCATGGTGTGGAGATAGCGCGTTGTGTTTATCCACGCATCTGCCGGCGGACAGGTAGGTTTTTCCCACCTATCGGCATCTGTGAATGTGAGTGGGAAAGTGTCTGTGGATTCTGTTTTCGTTCACCCTCCGTCTCAGCTATCACAAGAGGGATTCAAGTTAGACCTAAGAAGGACTTCCTGGTTTCCTGCGACCAGTGACCAAAGCAGCAGGAGCTCTGCCTTTGGATGGTTTTGAAAACCCAGGTTTCCTTTGCCTCCTCTCACCCACCCCTAGACAGGGAGGATGCATGGAGGGGCTGCACGGAAGCAGGAAAGAAGCCTTCTAGGGGTCATCCTGGGGTCACGGCTCGGTGTGGTTTATTTGTAGGAGGTGGGTGGGCGGGGTTTCTAGTCTTCTCTTGGATATGTTTTGCCATCACTCCCTGCCCCAAACCCAACTTCCTCCTTTCCCTGGCAACATCCAGGCTGGCTCCCTTTTTCTCTCCCAGGCTAAATTGGGAGTGTGAAGCTGCTCTTCCTCCCAATTTAGCTTTCGAATTAAAGTGAGAACTGAATGTGGCTGGAAAGCTGATTCCCATCTGTGTGTGTGAGAGAGAGAAAAGGAGAGCAAGTGAGCCTGAGCACAACGGGGCGACCAGAGGGAGGGGCTGATCTGGGCAGCACCCCCAGGGGCAGGCAAACACCTCAGCACTGGGATGCTGAGGTTTGAAGGCTGGTGTTTCCCCAGGACCGCTGCAGGGGCGCCCTTCAGACATTCCACAGAAATGTGCCGAGTGCGTACTGGACGCTAGGCCCCTTACTGGATGCTGGGGAAATTGTGGGAAGCCGGTAGATCCATCGCCTGCTACATGGCTTTCAGGGTGATGGGGAAACAAACAGGGTGATGTGGGCTGTCAGGGAGGAAGAGCAGATGCTGCATAGGCCCGGAAGGAGTGGGGTTGGGGAGCCCCATCTCAGCTGGGACTTGAGGTGCACACAGGCGTTGGTCAAGGTGAAACAGGAGAACAAGCGTGCTTGGGCAGAAGGCACTGCACAGGCAAAGATTGGAGAAGGCCAGGCTTTGCAAAGGGCGCTGGCACTGGTGCTGGGTGAGTTGGGCTCAGGAGGGCTCAGAAGTATCCTCCTCCTCCTCCTCTTCCTCCTCCTCCTCCTCTCCCCTTCCCTTCCTCCAGGGAAAACAAAACCAGGTGAGAGTGACCTAGGCCAGAGAGGACTGGGAGCACTCAGTCCCTTCTGCTCTGGCTCTAAATAGTTTAGGTGGGGGCGGGGAAGTTGCAGGTCTCCTTTTGACTCACTCGGAAAGCTGGACCTCACAGGCCCAGCGTGGACCTAGAACAGTGGAAATGGGATCGATCTCAATCGCATCTCGGGAGGCACAGGTTTCAAGAAGGGTCTCTGCTTGGTTTAGCTTACCCCTGGGGGCTAGCTGAGTCAGTGTCTGGGGATCTTTCCTCTTCTTACTTGGTAAGAGTGAATCATGATTCTGGCTGAGATGGGAACAGGTTGAAATCTTGGCAAAGAAAGACCTTCTGTTGGCAGAGGCAGGGAGGAGCTCTCTGGGGGCCATCCATCTCTCTGTCAGCTCTCGAGTTCCCCAGTGACAGGCATAGCTGAGGGATCCTGGTGTAAAACTGGCCATCAATATTTCAGGCAGCATTATTTATTCATCACTCATCTGGCCGGGACAAAAGGAGAGGTAATTCATTAGGGATGCAGGGCTGGTGGGGTCAGTTTGGGAAAGAGGTCAGGCAAGGCAGATCACTGAGGATCCTCAGCCTGGGCTCCTGCAAAAATACCTTGGGATTCAAGGATCTAGAGATTAAGGTCTTTGTCTTCTTTTTCAATCCATGACACTCCCGGCGAACATAAATGAAGGGGGCCTGGCCAGCGTGCTTAGAGGTTGAGCCTCGGTCTATGAACCAGGAGATCAGGGTTCAATTCCCGGTCAGGGCACGTGCCCAGGTTGTGGGCTTGATCCCCAGTGGGGCATGCAGGAGGCAGCTGATCTCTCTCATCATTGATGTTCTGTCTCTCTCTTCCTCTCTGAAATCAATTAAAAATTGATTTTTTTTAAAAATATATATTTTTATTGATTTTTTACAGAGACAAAGGGAGAGAGATAGAGTTAGAAACATCGATGAGAGAGAATCATCAATCAGCTGCCTCTTGCACGCCCCCTACTGGGGATGTGCCCGCAACCAAGATACATGCCCTTGACCAGAATTGAACCTGGGACTTTTCAGTCTGCATGTCGATGCTCTATCCACTGAGCCAAACCAGTTTCGGCTTAAAAATCGATTTTTAAAAAAGAAAATAAAGGGACAGAGGATGGGGAAACCTGCGGCAGGCCTGGGACTGCCACTGTGGCCGTCAGGGAGATCATATCCGTGGAATCCTGCAGCTAGATGAGCTTCCTTTCCTCTGGGCCCAATCTGTCCCTCCCAGGTTCCCTAACTCTCCCCACCTGACCCTGAAACCAGCTCCAGCAGCCTCTCGAGATGCCATTTCAGAAGCCCAGGTTGGGTCCCTTGTGCTGCAGGGCCCTTCCAGGGTCAGTCTTGCAATCTCCCTGCTCTCCGGAGGTGCCTGATTCTCACCCAAAGGGAACACCTGCCCTCTAGTCTGACCTCCTGTGGGGAGTAGGACCAGATGTGCACACAGGCTGAGCTTGTGAAGCGATTGCTTGAGAATCCATGGCTGACCTGTCCACCGGCAAGATGCTTTATTCATGAACCTCCAGCTCCAGGGAGTGAGGCATGAGGCTCCCTGCTCACCTATTTTAAGCAGATGGGCTGCAGGGAAGACTGTCTCCAGCAGAAGCCAGGGAAACCCATATTGGGAGGGAGCTGCGCCACCTAGTGGTACTTTTCCTTCTTGCAGGCATCCCTGCCAAGCATCACTGCCTCCAGCCTAGATAAAAGAACAAACTCTCAGGCAAAACCCAAATGGCTCTGACTCAAGATTGCCCTCTTCTCCCAGGCAGGCCTGATGCAGAGAGGAAAGAACTGGGGAATTCAGGAGGAAGATGGTCATGTACTGGTTGAAACTTAAGGCAGCAGAGAAGCCAGCGGTGAATTTTGGCCTGGAAACTCTCTCCATGGTATCCTGGATGCCACAGTTATGGGCACCATGGCCCAGAATCCCTGCCTCCTCTGCTTCTTCTGCCTTCCCTCTTTCATCCGGGCTGGGCAAGGCTGGGCTCAGCTCTGCTGATCAAGGAAAGCTGGCACAGGGGGGAGCTGCTGGCTTTGCTCTGACGTCACAGCCTGGAATCCCATTTTAAGCAGCTTTTCCAGGTGGGGCAAACAGAAGAAAGGGAGGGGGAGCTGGCTGAGGAAGCTTCAGGCCCAAGGCCATTCCAGCCAGAACCGAGGCCTGGAGGGCTGCCCCTGTCCCCAAGGTGGCGTGGCTGTGGGACACAGGGCCAGACCTCAGCACCCACATCAAAACGAAGGATCCCCTTGCCGAAACCGGTTTGGCTCAGTGGTAGAGCGTCAGTCTGCAGACTGAAGGGTCCCGGGTTTGATTCCGGTCAGGGGCATGTACCTTGGTTGCGGGCACATCTCTGGTGGGGGGTGTGCAGGAGGCAACTGGTCGATGTTTCTCTCTCATTGACGTTTCTAGCTCTCTATCTCTCTCCCTTCCTCTCTGTAAAAAATCAATAAAATATATTAAAACAAAACAAACAAACAAACAAAAAAACCCGAAGGATCCCTCAATGCCCACTGGGACCCAGGCAGTGACTGGGCCCTTTCCACATAGCTCTAGTCTGACACCTCGGGGTGACTTCTCTGACCCACTCTCCTGGCCTAGAGGGACCTACTGGGGGACAGGGCGGGTGGCCCCAGGGCTCACCAGCCTCCTGCCGGGAGACTTCCCACGCGTTTTCTGTCACCCTCCATCTCTCTTCTCCTCCCCTGCACTACAGTGGCCAGGCCTTGGGCCAAGTTCTAGGAGAATGACTGTTTCCATGGCAACGGACCAATGAGCTTGGCAATCTGAGCGGGTTTCTGTTGACACAGGGAAACCCAGATGTGCACGGAGAGCCTGGCAATGCTGAGTCTGGCAGAGACCTCTTTAGCTACCGGTCACTGTGGGTGCAAGTGTGTACCTGTGTGTGTGTGTGTAGCTGTGTGTGTGTGCGTGTACCTGTGTGTGTGTACCTGTATGTGTGTGTGTACCTGCATGTGTGTGTGTACCTGTGTGTGTGTACCTGTGTGTATGTACCTGTGTGTGTGTGTGTACCTGTGTGTGTGTGTACCTGTGTATGTGTGTGTGTGTGTGTGTGTGTAATGCAGCAAATAGGATTTAGGTCAGAGAGGGCCTACCCTGTTTTCCTGGCCTTGTGGTTGCTGCTAGCATGAGACTTTAACATCTTACTCTCTGGAGATCTTTCTAGAACAAGGGAGTCTCTCCCCTGAACTCTGCCCTAACACTTCCTCTCCTGATGTAGAAAGGGGCCCGTTTGCTCAGAGGCCAGTGGTGAAAGGAATGACCTTGCGATGGCTTCTCACACCGCACCTCCACCGCAGCCTCAGTCTGGCCCTGCTTGGCCAGCGTGGCTCAAGTGCGGCTGGAGGCCGTACCCGGTGATGCCAGGGAGGGAGAGAAAAGCCTGGTGTAGGGGCACTTCGCCAATCTTGGAGCAGCCAGAGGCTGGGGCTAGGTCCCCACACTCCCCACCCCAGACCATGCTCTGCTTCCTCCATTTCCCTTCCATGAAGCTGAGCCGTTCTCTGCTCCTCCCTCCTTTCCTCCCTCTCCATTCTTTTCCTTTATCTTCTGATGCTGCTTCTGCTCCTCTGCCATATTTTCCATTCTCCCGAGTCCTGCCTTCCAGGGTCTCATCTCAGCCAATTGTGTCCCTCGGCCCCTGGATCTTCTTCCCACGGGCTTGGACCCATGCCCTGCAGTCTCCCCCTGTCCTCCAACCCAGCCCAGCAGCTCAGGGCTCCCTCCCTCCCTTCCTTCTGGGCCACATGGGCTGCTTCTTTGGCTCCCGACCTTGGGTGCCTGTCTCCTTGTCTGTTCCCAGGTCAGACATGGGCCTTGGGACTGGTTCCTATCTCCACCTCTTTCTCCAACCCACCTGTCTCCTCCTTCAGAGTCTCACAGCCCCCTCCCAATGTTTTCCAGCCTTTGTGGGCACTGTGGCCATCCAGCCCTCCAGCCCTGCAGGGGAGGCCTTATCGGGGTTCACACCTGGCACTTTTCACGAGGTGCCAGAGGGTCCATTTGGGGAGGGTCTCAGGGCAGAAGGTCCTAGAGGGTTGAGGCCCCTATCTCTTCTTAAATCCTGATGCCTCCTGGTCCCAAAACTGTTTCCCCAGAACTCTGTCTCCCACTCCCTCGCACAGCCAGGTCCTGAGTCTCACTTCAGGTCCCCCCCACCCCGGGACTGGGTGGGGCGAGAACAAGCACAGAGGCTGACATGAACGAAGTGCCAGAGTTCGGTTTATTGGCTCGTCCGGTGCCAGAGGTCCAGCGAGCATCCACTCTCCTCTGAATTGGGAGCCCCTTGGCTCCTGGATGTTCCTTCTTCGCACGGTCCTCCTGGCTCCGACGGAAACTGCGGCGGAGGCTGGGCTCGGACAGGGTCTGCTCACAGGGGGCCTAGTCTGCTGGGCACAGGAAGAGGAGTCTGGGAGGAAGGAGGACGGGCCTCTGGGTGTGGAGAAAAGGAGCTGGCTCCCCAGGGGCCTCCACTCTGGGCCCCGACGCGTAGAGGAGCCCAGCCGCGGGGCAGGAAAGGGAAGAGGCAAAAAAAGAACTGAGGGCAGAGAAGGAGACGAGCCACTCCTCACAGCCCCATTACCTCACGGGCTGTCATCCTCTGAGGCTCAGAGACTAGGAAGGAGGCTGAGGGTGGGAGGAGGTCACTGCTGGAGGGACAGTCCTTTACCTCAAACACATACACACACACACACACACACACACACACGCACGCACGCACGCACGCACGCACACACACGCTCATACGCACACCCCTGGAGCCCCACCTCTTTCTAGTGGGGACGTGTAGCCCACAGCTCATCCAATGCCCCAGCTCCAGCTCCCGCATGGCCATCCTGGTCACTTCAGCACACGCTGAGGCCCTGTCCTCCCTTCAGGGCTATGGCCTGGAGCCCCTGCCCAGGTTCCCCGAAGCTCCCCCACCCTCTCCCTCCCCAGGTGCCTCCAGGCCCGGCTCTGATCCATCTGGGTATGACCGCCCCCGGCCCAGGGAGAGCAGCAGGCGCACGGTAGGACCTCTGAGAAGCCGGTGGCCATGGCTTTAGCAAGGCACTGGGTGGGCGCAGAGAGCGGGACGGGGACAACGGCAGTTCAGGTTCCAAGGAGCCCCCGCCTCCTTGGGTGGCTCAGTCCTCAGCTCCAGGCCCAGCCTCGACCTTCAAACCCCACCCCCCTCGACAGGGCCTCCCTCCTCTTTTCCAAGCCCTTCCAGAAAAGGGGCCTCTGGGCCGGCACCAGAAACAGCCATCTGCGGGCCCCGGGCCTGAGACACAGGGGCTCCGGGCACAGTGCGGAGCCGGGCTCGCGCCTGAGGGGCCGGGACCTCAAGCCGAGTCACCGCCTCCACAGGTCTTCTTCTTGGGCCGGGCCTTCACCGTCTTGGAAGCCAGTGGCTGCGGGAGGGAGGGAGGGAGGGGAGGGAGGGGTCAGGGGACGCTCAGCCTGCAGACACAACCCCTCCCCCTCTCCCCAACTTCTTGGCTCTCACCTCGCTTTTGGGCACTTTCTTGACGGGTTTGAGCCTCTTAGGGGCCTTGTCTCCCACATCCTCCTCGGAGGTTTCTGTCCGGGCATCGGCCTGGTTCGCGCCAGGCCTTAAACTCGGGGCGGGGTCATCTCCTGGTTGTGGGAAGGACAGGAGGGCAGGGGTCCGGGGGTCTCTCCCACCCGGCCGCCTCCTCGCCCCCGCGCCTGGCTGCCCAGCCTGTACCTGGGTCCTCAATGGTGTCCAGGAGGCCGCCGGGGCCGGGGCGGAGCTGGCCGGCGGGCCCGTGCAGGGGCAGCGAGTCCTCGTCCCGGATCAGGGTCAGGTCCTGCATGCTGAAGCTTCGGAGCTTCTCTGACAGCACCCCCTGGCCCTAGGGTCGCCACCACGCACCGGGAGCACCGGAGGAGGGGCGGGGTGGAGAGCGTGGTCACCCAGCGGCCCCGGGGAGGCCCCCGGGCGCAGTGCCTTCCCGGCCCGGACCTCATCCAGCCCTCAGGAGGCACCGCAGGCTGGGGCCATCCTTCTCCTTCGCACGGATGAGGGAACTGTGGCTCGGGGAGTGGAGGTCCCTCAGCTGGCCTGTGGTGGAGCTAGGATTGGCACCCCGGCTGCACTAGCCCCAAACCCTCACAGCCCTGAGGACAGGGTGGAAGCAGGATCGAATCGAGGGGGGGACGAGGTGAACGGGTGGGGTCCCAGGAGCTTGGTTCTGCCCCCGTCTCACCTTGGCAGCGGCTGTGACCGCGGCATTGGCGGCCAGGTTCAGGCCCCTCTTGCCCACCCTCATCATGGTCTCATAGCTCTTGTCTCGGGCCTGGGTGATGTACTCGTCGATCTCCTGAGGGGTCATAGCGGGGAGCAAGGAGGAGGTGAGGGCTGGCCCCCGTGGCCAGGCCCTGCCTGGGGCAGAAGGCCGGGCCTGCCAGGCCACCTCGGGCCCTGGGAGGGCCGGGCATGGACGTGGCTGCGGGCGCTGGGCTGCCGTGGCCTGGGGCGGGCGGGCTGGGAGCAGACCTTCTCCTTGTTGGACAGCGTCGGGTGCACGAACTTGCGGTAGAGCACGCTGGAGCCCTTGGTGTAAGGCGACAGCAGCCATATCACAAAGGCGATCTTGAGCTCAAAGTAGAAGGGGAACCTGTTGTGGGACAGAGGCAAACCCGGGGCAGGGCGTCAGGAGGCGCGCTGATGGCCTGTGCGACTCTGGCGAGCCTCCCACCACGTGTGGCTCAGGCGACCGGCCACTTCAAATCCCTGGGAGTGACTGATGGGGAGGCTCAGCCACGACCCCACTGGGAAGGTGAGGAGTGAGCCCAGTGGGAGGCCCCTCGGCAGTGGCTCCCTTGCCCTCTTCTCTCTGGGGAGTCCCCAACCTGAAAGAAGACCCCCTACTCCTCTGTTCTGGGTCAACACCAGGGTGCTCCCTAACCTTCTAGGTCTACTGTGCCCTCACCCATGTCTTCTCTGCCCTTTCCCCCATGAAGACAGGGCTTCGCCCTAGCCAGTTTGGCTCAGTGGATAGAGCGTTGGCCTGTGAACTGGTCCCGGGTTCGATTCTGGTCAAGGGCACATGCCCAGGTTATGGGCTTGATCCCCAGTGGGGGACGTGCAGGGGGCAGCCTATTAATGATTCTAATCATTGATGTTTCTCTCTCTCTTTCTTCCTCTCTGAAATCAATAATAATAAACATATAATATAAATATAGACTAGGGCTTCTCCAGCTGTGTTCTGGGCACTATCCCTTGCTGCCAAGACATGCCCCTTGCTTTTACGGACTATTCTCCTTCCCCATGGTTCCCTCTCTCAGATCACAAACTCCTTCAGGCATGTCTCCTACATCCTCACAGAGCAGCCATCAAAGCTCTCTCCTTTGCCTGTGCTAGTCAAGAGGCATCTATACTCCCTGCCCTCAATTTTCAGCCCACTTTCCTCCCTGTGCTAAAATTATTTTTTCTCAAAGGCCATAGGCCCTGGTACAGCAGGTCTTGAAATAACTCCTCATTCAATGCCATTTTGTTATAATGAGCCGCTGTAGAACTTAATTCTTATTAATATATCAATTAGCCTGTGGTAAAATTGGTTTCATTATATGTCGCTTCGCTTAAAGTTGCAGAACCTGCCCTAGTCTGTTTGGCTCAGTGGATAGAGCATCGGCCTATGGACTGAAGGGTCCTGGGTTCGATTCCAGTTAAGGGCACATGCCCGGGTTGTAGGCTCTATCCCCAGTAGGGGGTGTGCAGGAGGCAGCCGATCAATGATTCTCTCTCATCATTGATGTTTCTATCTCTCTCTCTCTCCCTTCCTCTCTGAAATCAATAAAAATATATTTTTAAAAAGGTTGCAGAACCTGACAATCATGTTAAGTGAGGAATAACTGTAACTGATAAATGCAATGATCTTTTGTCCTCTCCCTCTCCCTAAAACTCCCTTCTCTTGACTTCTCGTGTACTGTGTGTGTGCTGTTGGTCTTCTCTTCCAAACGCATCTGCCCATTTAATGAACACTTTTGAGCTCCTGCTGTGAATATAGAGATGATGGAGACGTGCCCTCCCTGTCCTCATCGTGTTGATACATAGACCAGTAGTGCCTGAAAAATGTCTTGGAAGTACAATCACCCAATGTGTGGAGGACTGAAACATTCACCAATGGAGAAGCAGAGGCTAGAGAGCTGTGACCTGCCAGACGTCACAGGAAGCCTGGCAGCAACAGCTTTCCTGAATTGCGTTGTGGTGCTTTGGCTGCCACAAAACAAATATGTTTGTCCTTATTCTGCTGATCAAGACAGGCCTGGATGGGGTCGAGGGCAGGGGGAGGGGGACATCCAGAACCGCACAGAACTGTGGCCTCATGGCCGGCTGGGCAGAGAGAGCCCAGGGAGGGGTCGCTGGGCCTCACCAGGAGAGCACGATGTCGGTGAGTGTCTCGGCCGTGGTGAAGAAGGCAAAGACGATCCAGTACATCATCCACTTCACCTGAGGGTACAGAGGGCAGCGTCGGCTGGGGCCTGAGGGGCCTCTGCCTGCCAACCACCCTGGGCGTTCTGCGGGGAAGGGAACACTCAGGACGTCAATTATGCCTGCGGGTCACACCTGGGCCGGGGGAAGGAACACACAGGAATCTCCTTTGAACCAGGGCCTCACTGGTGCCGACAGCATTGGTACGGTCACCCCATTTATAACATGACCCACTGCCCTCCCCTATCTCTGCCATGCGGGTTGGGCGGGTGGGAGTTGAAGGGCCACACACTCACATATTCCTTCACGTTTTTTGTCTTCACGGCTTTGTAGGAAGAGTAGGCTGGGTACAGCGTGCCGAAGACGAGCCTAGGGAGGCAGGCATGGTTACGGGGCCCCTCGGCCAAGAGCGGCGGCCGCTCCCTCCCAGCTCTGCACCAGCCCCTGGGTGGGTGATGGGAACTGGATGGATGAGCTCAAGACTCAGGTCACACACATGCATGGAAGTCCTAGCCAGCCACGGCGCTGTCCCTGCCCTGCTCTATTGTCCAGTTTCTCTCCAGACCCCGAGGTATGGAAAGGCCCAGAAGCCAGAGGGCCCAATGTGGTCAGTCTCTTCAGCCAGGATCCTTTGCTTATGCACACACCCATATGGGAGTGGGTGTCCGGCTACTGCCACCAGGGTGTCTTCCTTCCCCAACACCATGTTCGTTCATACCCATCTGCCCTGTCTCAGAGCCATGCTGGGTATGGCGAGGTCGGCAAGGGTTCCCGATACTCTAACAGGGCACTCAACCTGGCAGCCGGTAGCACCACTGAGGCCCCGGGGAGCAGAGGGCACGGGCAGGAAGCCCTGGGAGGGGCAAAGAGGTTTATTCTTGGGGCCAGTCTCAGGGGAGGACCCGGCCCCGTGGAGTGGACCTGGTGGTGATCCCAGTGGAGACCACACACGGGCCTCAGGGGAGGGGATCCGAGGGCTGTGCCCGCAGGGAGCTCATCCCGACAGGAGAGCAGCAGCCACTCCGAAGGCCACATGGACTCCCTCTGGGTGGGGTGGGAAAGAGAGGAAGGAAGGGGATTCCGGTCTGGAGGAAGCCAGGACACAAACACACGCCACACCGAATGGGAAGAAGGCAGCAGGGAGGGGACTCGGGCTGTCAGTCCCGTGGAAGCGGAGGGCCAGGGTCCTGAGGCTCCTGAGGCGCCCTGCCAGCCCGCCCAGCCCTGCTGCTGCTGCCTGCTCCCACATGGACCCAGTGAGAGGCAGGGGACGTCCAACCTGGCCTGTAGAGAGGGGGTGGGGTGGGATCCTCAAGGACAAAACCTGGGCTGTGGGAGCAGGTTCCTCCGGAGCCGGGATGTGGAATGGAGGCCACTAACGCCCCGTTCCATGGCCTTCACAATCCCAGGCTGAGCACATACGTCCTCTCTGGGTTACCCCCACATATCGTCCCCCCAAACGTCTCTGCTTCCCCACGCCCAGACAGGACCCCCGGAGGCCCTTCAGAGAATGTGCCCTCACCCCCACCCCTGACAGTCAGTGGGAGAGGAGGGGAAGCCAGCCCTTTGGGGAGGCCAAGGATGCTGCCATGGCCCTAAAGTAAGGCATAACGAGGCCGGCCTTGCTCCTCACGCTTCCATTAGCTGCCCCCAGGGAGATGCGGGCCCAGATCGGAGCAGCTCCTCAGACATCTCTGTTAGGTGGGGGAAGGGACATGCCCGCCTCCCCCATAAATCAATCCATGCTGCTCAGCCTTAGGATGAGGGAGGGCGAGGGAGCAGGGAAATTCAAGATAAAAGGGGTAGAAGCCAGGCCTGCCAGGCTCCTCAGTATCTTCCTCCCCCCAGTCCTGGGTCCCACCCTCCATGTCTCTGGGACCACAAATAAGGACGAATGACTGTGCTGTGTGAAGCCCCGAGCGGTCCATCCGGGCTTCGATACCCCGCAGCCCCCACCCAGCCCCCGCCCAGCCCCCGCCCCAGCCCCAGCCCAGCCCCAGCCCCAGCCCCAGCCCCAGCCCAGCCCCAGCCCCGGCCCGGCCCGGCCCCCTCGCCCGCCGCGCGCGGCACTCACACCACCAGGCGAGAGATGATCCAGGACACCATGGCGGGCGCGGGGCGCGGGGCGCGGACCCCGCCAGGGCCGAGGATGCAGCTGCTGAGGTCGAACGGTGACAGCAGGAGCCGCAGGAGGAGCCGCAGCAGCAGGAGCAGCAGGAGCAGCAGCAGCAGCAGCAGCCGCGGCGGCCGCGGAGCACCAGCCCCTGCGTTAAAGGGGAGGTCCCTGCCGCAGCGGCGGGCCGTGGGCGGTGGCGGTTCTTAAAGGGGAGGCCGCGCGCCCCCCGCACCTGCTGTCCCGGGCATGCGCCCTTGACCTCAGAGCCCGGCTCTCCCCTCCGCCGGCCTAGGTTCCAAGCCCGGGTGGAAGTCCTGGGAGGCCTCCGCGGCTCCATCCTGACATCCCAGCCGCCCCCTGCCCTGCCCACACGGTGCCGAGAGGCTTAACCATCCCACAGGATGTTTAAGAGGAAGAACAGCCATGGCTTCTGGGCGCTGATTGTGGGCCAGGCCCCGAGCCAAGAGCTTCCCGTGCATTATTGCGGTGAATCCTCACCACCACCCTCTAAGGCAGAGGTTATGATTATCCTCACTTCGAAGATAAAGAAACGGGAAGCTTGTGGAGGTTCAATAATTTACCAAGTGTCACAAAACCACTAAGTCATGTGTTTAAGATACGAACCCAGGCAGTGTACTTTAAATAGGCTTCTTTTCCCAATGATGACTCGCAAATCCTCCCAGGCCCCATAAAGACATCTACCCAAGAATTCTTGAAGTCAAGGTATAGCTGTACCTGACCACCCCACCAATCACCCCGGTTTGAAGAAAAACCCCCTATCTGACCTGCGTTTTCAGCATCGTCAGTGCCTAAGCTTTGCAGGGGAGCCCTGTGCTCCTCTGGGGGAGGGGAGTCAGGCCTTCTTGGAAGGCCTGGGGTCTAGGTAGGAGGTGGAACAGGGAGCTCCACCCAGCTTCACTTCCATCAGCAAGCAAGCACTGGAAGCTGTGTATGCCCCAATTCTGAAGCCATTTATACCCAGAATGTAGGCTAGCCCCAGCCCGCCTCCCGATTTTCACCAAAGCAACGAAGGCCAACCTCCACAACTCCCCTTCTCCCCGACGCTTTCCTTTCCTGTCCCCTCCACATTCATCTGCCCTTGATGTGGAGGTGTAATCCTGGCGGTCACAGCATCACCCCGTGCCTGTGCAGGCTCAAAGGAGGTGCTCGGAGCTCTGAACCTGTTATGGTCCTATTCAAACTCGTTATCTTTTGAACCTCACGGCGATCTATTTCCACCCTGATAATTGTATTTCCAGGCTTAAACACTTTGGAAGTCATTTCCAACAGGCTTGAGAAGTGGCCTCTAATGACCCCTCTTGCTATTCTTTACAACTTCCTCTTGAAAAGGCCTTTTCTAATTAGAGTCCAGTCTGTCCTAACTCCTCAAGCCACTTTCATTGCTGTTTGATAACAACAAATCCCTTTTGGGGTCTTCTCCTGCCAACTCTGAGATGGATCTAGAGCCATTTCCTAAGTGGGCAGCCCGGCTACCTGCTTTGAAGACCGCCCCCCAGCCCCTCCCCGGCAAACTTCCCCAGGAAGGTAGGGTCCCACCTTCTCCACTCCATTCACTACGAGTATAAATAACCCCTCCTCCTGTCCCTCTGATGTGGCTCCCTTCCCTTCACCCTCAAGCCCTCAAACCACAATGATCTGGCACTTCCCTTTCCCAATTTGGAACAAATTGAGAAGCAAAGGATAATTAGATGCAGCAATGTAATGAAGATCTGAAAACAAATCGTCCTCCACTTCCAACCCCCCCTCCACCTGGCCTTGCTTTTTATTTCCTTTTTTATATTTTCATCGATTTCAGAGAAAGGGAGAGGGAGATAGTAACATCAATGATAAAATAATCACTGATCATTAATCCACTGAGCCACCTGCATGCCCCCTATTGGGGATTGAGCCTGAAAACACAGCATGTGCCCTGACTGGGAACTGAACCGTGACCTCCTGGTTCATAGGCTGATGCTCAACCATTGAGCTACAATAGCCAGGCTGGTTTTGTTCTTAGAATGGCTGGCACAAGAAGAATTTAGTCCACTCAAAACAGATTTGTTAGATTTTTAATAAGAACATGGAAATCCCAATCAGCCCTTCAACAAAATTAAAATACAGAAAGTGAAATTAAATGTATTCTACAGTAAATGACTTTTATTAAAAAAACAAAAACAAAAAAAACCTGTGAACATATAAACAAGCCTTCAGGGCACTACAGTACAGCCAGAAAGAAGATACATTATCCAATGTACCCATGGGCCAATGAATTCCATTATTTTCAAATAAATTTTTAATAAAACTCCACTGAGTTGGAAAGTTTCACTGAAAATATTTCTGGACAAAAACCCCCAAAAACAAAAAGCCTCATGTAGGAAAATCACTTTCCCTCAAATTTGGAACTGTTACGCGGAGTCCGTCCCGAGGGAACGCTGGTGACAGATGGAAATGTTCCTGGAGTCACCGTGTGTGTGTGTGTGGAGCACACCACAGCTCAGACAGGACAACGCTCTTTCTCAGATGGCTGTTCCCTCAAGATAGGACTGAGATGGGAGGGGGAGAAACAAAAAGAATCCCAAGACGCCAATTCTTTTAAATTCTGCTTTGGCTGATTTTGTGCTATAATGGGCAGTTGATTTCTAAAAAATCATATTTCTTCAAAGTGTTTCATCGAAAGGAAGACTAAATGTAATGTGCCTTTCCTCATAATCCAGGAAAACTGCGGTATTTCAAAAGTTCTAAAAATATCTACTTTCATGAAATAGTAACTATTTCACTACAAACCTATTTTTCACTAAATACACACATTCCTAATCCTGGAGCCTCCTGGGAAAAGCAGTGGGTCCTCCCTGGGTCCTGCAAGACCCCAGTGTTCACGGGGGAGATAGTGGGGAATGGCTTCACCCTGTCTCCTGGGATGGGCTGTGTCAGAGGTCACGTGCAGAGACACTGCCAGGCTTCCACCAGGCATGTTTAAGCAATGAGCCCCTACTTGTACCAGTTATGTGATTCCCCATACCTCCAAACATTCCCAATTAACTAGGCACGAGAGAAAAAAAAAGAAAAAAAGAAAAGAAAGGTGTGCCCACAGTCCTGGTTTCCACAAATCCCAGATCATAAGACTTCAGGAAAGCCAGCGATGTTCAGGCCATTCAGTCCCAAAGACCACAGGATGGGAATGTGGCACCCTCGGCTTGGGGTCCGAAGCTGTGTGTGAACTGTGCAGCTTTCCTGTGTCACAGCCTTCAGTGTTGAGGCAGCGTAGAAGAGAGTGGCTGGAGTTTGTAATACTGACCACACTGGCTCCGGGTGAAGCACCTCTGCTCCAGCAGAGCCCTGCCGTTCCGGTTTGTGGGAGTGAAAGACCTGCTTCACAGGGGAGTCTGCAATCTCTCCAGCCTACGACCGGGCCAGTTTGGACTCATGAGCCTTGAGGGTGCCAACAGCATCTTTCACTGCGTGATAGATGATGTTCTTCACCTGGGGAGAGCAAACGGCAGTCAGAGCATGGCAGCCCCTGTTGTCTCTGCAAATGAAAACGTGTGTTCTAGGCTGCCTATATGCCTGCTGTTAGTGAGGAAGGCCCTCAACCAGGACTGTGTGCTTCCCATACCCATCCTAAAGCAGACTTACAAGTCACATAGGACATAAGGTCTATATTCAAAAAGGAATAATGAAATCATTTGAAAGGCTATCTAATCATCACCATCTATGTGCTTCTATGTGCTGTGCATGACTACTAAGTTCTTTATGTGGACTTTCATTTAATTCTTACCATAATCCCATGAGGTACATTTTATTATTATCTCTTATTTTACAGACGAGAAACTGAAGAAATCAAGGTTCCAGGATTAAGAACCTCGCCTAAGGTCCTGTAGTGAATAAGAATGCACTCAAAGTGGGCAGGTAGGATTATTGGGTATTTTCCCTGATATTTATTTTCTAATTTCTCTAGAATGAGGTAAGAAGATAGAGTAAAAGTTACTGAAATAAAGTGAATAACTTAAAGATAGTTTTAAACTAAGATGGTGAGTATTCTGAGGAAGGAAAGCAGGGAGATGGGATGGAGACTCCAACAATGTTTATGTTGTATATATTATATGTATGCATATACGTGTTTTTCTTCTTAAGCTGTGTGATGGGCACACAAGCCCCTTGTGCTACTCTCTACTAAATTTTTGTATTAATTCAACAAATATTTACTGAGTACCTACTATACAACCAATATTGTGCTAGGGAAAAGCAGAGAATAAAATGGTAAAATCCTTGCCTTCATAGTTTAAATAGCTTATACTATAGTAGGGATAGAAATCAACAGATAAAATACAATGTTGGGTGGTAAAAAAATACCACAGAAAATATAAAGCAGAGGATGGGACGTAACCTGATAGAAGGTGAAACCTAACGGAGGTGTCATCTGAAAATATGTATGCCTGAATATTTGCATTATGTCTATAATGTCAATGTTATCTACTTATCAATATGATTATACTCTGTATAAGAATTTGATGGTTGAAATGGTTTATAATTTTGAAAAAGGAACAGGTTGAAGGTGACTGAAAATACCAACAACCAAGAAAAATCTCCAACCGCACTGGCCACTGACCAAAGAAGACACACCTGAGCCACAGGCTGATGGAGGCAAACAGGCCATTAAGTGAGAGGCTGGAGTGTGTACTCAGAATGCTGAAGTTCTGCTCAGGCAATCTTGCTTCTTTCTTCTTCTATGCTACTAAAGCACCCGGATGTGAACAATGAAGTTCTGCCCTTAAAGTTCTAATCCACTTTAGATACAGAGGAAAACTGAATCTGATTGTCCAGCTTAGATCTACAGGGGGAAACAACCCCCACTCCTCTTAGGCCATGGACTGAGTCATTAGCAGAGCTCTAAGCGACTGAGTCTGCACAGAAATCTGCTCTGAGAAGCCACTCCAGAGAAATATCCCTTCTCAGAAAAAAAACTGTCACAATGCTTTTCTCACCTGACTGGGGAAGTCAGTCTAGTGGCAGTGAACACTGAAACAGTCTGTATCCCAGGGCGGAGAAAGAGAAGACTGTTACACTGTGAATTATTAGGTTAAAACATGAGTCTTCTCTACTCTCCACAGTTTTACCTCCCAGAGCATACTCTCAGGAAACAGAATGTGCCTCCTATGTGTGTAATCGAGTAGGAGATGAGAAGTGAAGGAGTAGTTATTTACCTGCAGTTTATCCTCATGATTTGTATGAGTGTTAGAGAGATGCCTGAATTCCTGCGTCAGGCGGAAACAGTGCTTTACAT